AGTAGGGCAGCAAAGAGAAAAAAGGTATTGTATCGAGAAAATGTAAAATTTAATAGCTTTCATTGTATGAAAGGGCGCCTGATTGACAAATAGCTGCAGAGAGACAGAGAGACAGAGACAGAGACAGAGACAGAGACAGAGAGAGAGAGAGAGACAGAGGCAGAGAAAGGGAGAAACACAGAAAAAGGGCTCGTGGGGAATACGGTGAGAGATTCACAAAGCAGCACCATTACTTTATCAGAAAACAAGTTCCTCTTCCGCTTGTCTGAAGGGTCATTACAGATTGATTTGAAAGCAGGGAAAAATACGTTGTCTGAAATTCCAATTACAACTCATCCCGCAACTCTTTTCGCACTCTGTTACCCGCGACCTACAAACCCTTACCAAAACATCTCTTCCCAGTCGGCCCGTCAATCGGTCTGGATGCTCTTTTTTATCTTTTTTCCACCTCCCCGTGTTGATGTTACTGTCTGTTCCCTTTGTTATGCACTGTGGTGCATGGAGATGTCCCTTTACCAGCCTTGCTGATCGTGCATTATTAGTTTTATTGTCCCTCTCTCTCTCTCTCTCTCTCTCTCTCTCTCTCTCTCTCTCTCTCTCTCTCTCTCTCTCTCTCCCTCCCTGTGGCCTCATAAACGGTCAGCGATGCCGACAGATTAATTCATCTGAATTATTATCTGGTGGACCTGGTATTTCTTCTCTACTGGTGCAGGACTTGTGTACAATCTCAGTTGACTGATTTAATTTCTCATCTCTGGCAAGCTCCTGTCTCTTTTACCTGGAGTCTATTCATTAGATGAAGAACTATCAAAATAGGTTCACGTGTTTTCATTTAATAACCAATTTAGTGATGTTTGTGTCACTTTTAGATTTCGTACCATAAGAAAGGTCCCCGGCATAGATCCCCCCTTGGAGATACAGAGTTAAGAGATGATCAAAGAGAAGGCCATGTGGAATCTGGAGAATAGTCACTGAGAGTGATGTTGAGAAAAGTGAAAATATGTGGAATAATGTCAAGGAGATATCTCAGCACAGAGAAAAGAGGGAAGTGTTTGTCGATGGTCTATACCCTGACCCAGGATGAGATGATGATGAGGATGATGACAATGATGATGATGAGGATGATGACAATGAGGATGGAGACGATGATTATGAAGAGTCTGACTGTTTACTGTTATTGCACCCACTTTCTAGTTACAGGATTTTGCCTTATGTTCTGCCTGATTTGAGACCATGTTTTTATGGTAAATGACCAGTTTGAATCTTTATTCATCGTTCCAGATGCTAAGCTGATGTTCATTCTGAGGTATATTTTTAGTTTAACTAAGTGTTGCAGTGCAAGATTTTATGTGTTTATTTCTCTTCTTGAACAGAGGAGGAGATCATTGCGAAAGCTGAAGCAGAGTCTGAAGGTCGTGTTTATTCCAAAGTTCAGACAGGTAACAAAATTTTCTGTATTTTTTCTGATCACATATCCTATGTTGGACTCCTTGGGTAGCCTCATTTTATGTTTATGTACATTCAATTCATTGTGATGTTTTGAGTTGAAACTTTGTTATGGTAACTTTGTAATGTTTTAAGATTTTTACTGAAACAGATTTGATATTTGTTTTGTACTTTTAATTTGCTGTGATTTTTTTTTTTCATACCTATGCAGTCTAAATAGATTGCAAGGTTTTGATAGAGCTTTACCATACAAGATAGTTTCTGTCTGTTCTCTGTTGAAAGAATAACTCTTTCTGCCTATTTTGAAATCTCTGGAGAGGATATCATTGTAAGGTTTGTACAATTTGATGAGGAAATAAATATCTGTTGCAGGTGGATATGAGGCGAGAAGGTTTATACATAATGTTTCTTAAAATGAGTAACTGCTTTGAATTGTACAGAAATTTTCTTTTTCCCAGGATTTAGGGGCAGAGGAAGGGGTGCGAGAGGAGCAGGTGTGAGGGGAGGAGGAGTGAGAGGGCGAGGAGCCAAAGGCAGAGGAGGGAGAAGAGGCGCATCTGGTGACAGTGATGGGCAGTTTGCTTGGTGGGTGCTTCGTAAGCAAAAGAAAGATGCTGCAGGACCCACGTGAGTAGGCCTATTCACTCTCTTTTTAAAAAAAAATTTTGTAGAGTTATAGGAGTCTTAGATGTATGAATATGAGATATAAAGGTAGAATTTCTTATACGGTAAGGGTTTCTTTCTGTTCTTTGTCTATAAGGTAAAATTAGTCCTTTACTTAAGTTATTTTCCAGAAAGCAGGAACATTGCAAACCAGGACTAAGCTATTTTTAGGGGGTTTTTATATTTTTTTCCAATTGGGGCAAACATTTTTTGCATTTGTAGGAATACATAGTTTGTGCTGATAGCCAAAGTTTTGTTGAGATAGCGCAAGACAAGAATAATTAACACTTTTGGATAGAAAGTATGAATACAGTCATTGGGATTTTTTTACCAGTGTTTGTTTTTCACATTTATCATTTCATGTCAATATAAGAAATTATAGATTCTACTTTGTGACCCATGCCTATGATATGACATCAAAATTTTGTCTTTTCTTCAGGGAGGTTCCGTATGATAAAGCTTTGCTGCAGAGATACCGCAAAGCATTGGACACAGCTGTGAAAATTGCTACTGTCCACAATGTGCAGCCTATTAAAGGCCGCACAATTCTGTTGTGTGACATTAGCCAGAAAATGAACAAGCCATGCTCGAGTGCCAGGGGTCTCGGAAAGCCACGCACAGTAAGTGATTTATCACCTTTTATTCGGACTCTAGTTTCAGTGTGTGTTCTTCTTCTCGTTCATCTTTAAATAAAACACTCCAGTCTCTAGAACGAAGGCTGCTGTTAACAGCAGGTTCTCCATGCTCTCTCGGAGTTTTGGGTCTCTTTACTGAGGGTTGGGCAATATATTTCCTTCTTTGTGTCTCTTGCATTGGGTAGGTTTGTAGGAAATGGTCAGTGTGTGTTTAAATTTACGATCTTAAAAAGAACCTGAAGAGACATGTTTCAGTGCTGACAGGGAGATATGCATAATGTGAATATTATTATATAAAATATATTATTTTTAAAAAGCAAAATGTTTTTCTGAACTGCAAGTAATTTATAGATTGGTTTTGTTAGTTTGTCTAAATAAGCTTGATTAACTTTCCCCTTTGCTTTTCAGTTGCGAGAAATTTCAGTCCTGATGGGTCTGATGTGCAAGTACTCCTGTGAAGAATGTGAGATGATTGTCTTCAATGACGAATCATACAAAGCCATTGAACTGCGTAAAGGAACCATTCTAGACAACATGAATGCTGTCTTGGATTGTGAGCTGCCCTCGGACGTAAGCATAGGTTTTTTTGTGTTTTTATTATTTTTGTCAGGTTACCTGTATTTTCTTTTGTTTTGTTTTATGGGGTCTTTTTTAGGTTGGGGAGTTGATGGGAAGTGGAGGAGAGGCTGTGATTTTTATATCACAGATAGGGAAAGCTGTTTTACTGGCATTTCACCTTTTTTTATAGTTAAACTTGCAGTGTAATTATGCATCCAATAAAAGGGGGAAAGGACGAAAATGATTAAGGGCCTCCTAGATTGGAATACTCTTTCAGGTATAATAATGTCTACTTTGTTGCTGTTATTGGTCCAGTGATACATTGGTTTTCGCTCTTTGATGGACGAGTGTGTGGAGGGTGCCACTTGTATGTCCTACGTCTTTTCTTTCCCTATGTTGTTTCTGTCTCTCTTTCTTTCTTCTTTCCTACACTAAAAGACTATTATTGTGTCAATGTACTTCTCTTGACTCGAACTCATAAACTCATTGCTCTTTGATTAGACTTTGTGAAGTGATAGATGCAGGTTCTCTTGAATTGTTATGTTGTTCCATAGTGTGTATTATTTGTGTTTGGCCTATGAGGGAGGAAAATATCCCTGATGTGATGTAGTTCTGAGAAATGGAAAGAATGATTATTGTGCCCCAAGTTTCTTAGCTCTCTCTTTTTTTATTTCATGGTTTTGCCCATTTCATATTATTGACATTTTGTAAACGACTTAAATTTGCTCATTTCTTTAAATATTGGGAAAATACAAATTCAAGTCAAGTACATAAAAAAATTTAAAAAACAGTGCGCAGTATCCTTTATTTCCAATGAGTGTGTGGATGTACTTGCTGGATTCTGTGCAGGTGAAAGTTATACAGGAAAATTGCTGGGCTTGTTGGCAAAAGATTGTGATTCATTCTTTTCTGTGTATGTAATTGATGATTTTTTTATATATGCGGTAGTCATTTGTTTCAAGACTCTGGATTTCTGGGTAAGCCTGGCAAATAGGGTTTAAAATTGAGTCAATTCGAATATATTTATGCATGCAATTTATGCCATAATAAATGTTACTTTATTTGCAGTCTGCTGAGATGGTGGAATCAATTCCCTACCAAGTGCTGCTGGAGAAGCTCAGAGATCGAGTTCAGGTAATAATTGTAGTAATTGGAAGAAAAGAAAAACGTACTTCAATTGATGTAAATCAAGAAATATATCTTACAGTTTGGTAGAACTCATAAGTTTTGTATGCATGAACGTTCTGTCTCTTCCGAACACTTACGAATCCATTATTTTTTTAAGAAACATTTAAATGAAAACGTGGCGTCAGCCATGCTAATAGCTTTAAAAAGTCTCATTAGACTGTAGAAGAAAGGAAAAAGATCGGACAGAATATTATCCATGACAAATAATGTATGTATTGACACAGGCATGGCAAGTTATATCAGCTTTAATCATGGATTAGAATGGAAAGGGATATCATTTATAGACTTTAAAGTAACCTTTCAAAACCATGTGTCCCCACTGATGCCCCCACACATCTTAACAAAGCAACTCCCTTGCATGCTTTGCCCAATCTTTTAAAAGTTTGCCATATGGTCCTCCGGGAGGCATACAGGGAAATCAAGACTCAAACTTACCAGCCCTTTGGTGGCTAGTCTAATACTCTACCGACGGCCAGCCTAGTTTGTACATTTGGTTGGTCCTACTTCTTTACTGTCTCTTTGTTGTTTATTTGTGTCTGCCTTAACTTTTCCTAGCACCAAATGTAAGGCATACTAACAAAATGAGTAAATTTTGCATTCCGTGAAAGGAATTATTACCTGAAAATAGACACTGGGGTCCAATTTGTAGATTGGCAATTGATGCCATTTTCTTCAAGTGAAACATGTCATATCATACTTACAAACAGTACAAACTCCACTCATAAATTTGACATATCTAGTTCCATATATGGCTAAAAATCTGAGAAGTAACTTATTTTTCAAGTATGCCTCACAAACGTCAGGAGTTGTTATTTTTTAAAAAATTGTTTCCCTTGTAAGGTGGACAACCTGCTGGTGTTTGGAGAGGACTACTACCCTGACTGTGATGAAGGCAGAGTGCTGGTAGACTTCCTCAAGAACTACCGACATTTGGTCAACCCAAACCTGTTGTTTGTGGCTGTTACCTTCTCCAGCCCCAGAGCTGGGTGAGTGGAATAATAGTAATAATAATAGGCCTTATTATAATGATGATAATAATAATAATAATATATAATAATAAAAATAATGCAGGTAATTTCTAGAGTTCATAGTCCCATACAATACTGCTCTATGTGCTTTACAATACCTCATTACTGAATATTATCTTGATATGAATGTTTTGTCATAGTTTATAGTGCTTATTATTGACCAGCTGTTGACATGTATTAAGCCCTAAATTTTGTCCTTTTTTATCGCAGTTTCTTAATCTGTCATATCTCTTGCATGTGTTCAAAAAATATTTTGTTGAAATTCAAATTCTAAATGTGGAAAAAATATAATTTTGTTTAAAGAATCTAACCGTGTTTAGAAATTTTGCTTTCTAGTCTAAGTACATTTGAACAGCTTGTGGATTTTGTGTTCTTTTTTTTTTAATGGCCTGTGTCTCCTGAATCATTTTTTTTTTTAACATGTCTTCTCCAGATTCACTTCAGACATCCAGCCAGAACACGACAATGATATCTACATTTCTGGTTACAGTGATGCCATCCTCAGGTAATACAATTTTTTTTTTACTTTCGTGTAAATTGTCTACCTCTATTTAGTGTAGTGCCCCCATCTGTCTCTGGTACTCAAAGTTCAGCCATCAGTCAGTGAAACATTGTGATCTTCCTATGGCAATCTAGTCATCATCCAGTCTAATACAAGATCTGCCCCTTGAAGTCTAGTTGTCAGTTAGTGTAGTTAATGCATCTGCCTCCTATGGTGAAGTCACCAGTCAGGATAATATAGTATCAACTTCTAGTAGTCTTTGACAGGTAAAGTTGAAAAATTTCGTGTCACAAATTTTCGAGCTTGGATAGAAAGGGATGTCTCAAGAAACAATATTTCTGTTTAGTGCAAGACTTCGCCATGTTCTGTTTTGAAACATAACGAAAAGTTACATTGAGCAGTCGATTTAAAATCATTGCAAAAACATTTCCTCAGGTTCGTTGCTGAGCGAGGTGATGCTGGGATGGTCAATCACGTTGACAAGATTGACGAGGCCTTCCAGCTGCGACCCATGCCACGGCTGAGAGTGGACCAGCAGGAGGTGAAGACGGTTGTGCCGGAGCCAGAGAGGAGCCTCAGGCTGACAGCCCCCACCCCCAGGTTTCTTCTTTTTCTTATATTTTACTTTGTTGAGGTTGTTCTCTTTGGTTTGAAAGCTGATGGAATTGGTCTCACTGTCCATAGTAGCCTTGTGGTTAGGCTACAGGGTCTGTAATCATGAGATTGCGGGTGGGGTAGGAGGGGGGATGGGGTTGAGCCACAGCTCAGTCTGACTTTGTTTGCTTGGGAAAGGCTCTTTATGTTATTAAGACAACAGATGATGAATGCGGAATCAGAGGAAGGGGTCTTTTTTGGGGGGTTGGGGATATAGAAGTTAGAGAAACATTTTTTCCCTTCATTACTTTAGTGCATCAGTTAAATTGTCCTCTTTTTTTTCCCCCATAAATTTTGTATTGATTTCCAACAAGCCCACTGTTGTATATTTAATAGACTGTATACATGCTGCTTTTATAATGGCACGGAGCCGCTGGAATTTCTGTTTTCAAGGAAATGTTGATTGTATCCATTTAATACTAGTGTAAGGTAACTCCTCATCAGTTTTTGGGAACCATTGATAATGAGAAAAAAAGAGATAAAGTTATTAATTTTTCTTTCTGTGAGTAGCTTGTCATTATCATTGACTTAACTTGCACTTCATGCTCATATGACCTTATGCAGTTGCGAGCGCTGTATAACTCACTAATTTGCAGTTAATTGTTCCTTGAACTTACTGAACAGTAATGGTGCTATATTGAAAATTCCCAATTAGCATTTCTTTTACCTCTTATATTTCCAAATACCTTTCCAGTTTAAGTAATAGAGCTTTTTTGACATTCTTATACCCCTAGGTGGAGAACCGTGAGAGTTTTCATTTCCTCCACATTCCGGGACATGCATGGCGAGCGTGACCTCTTGACCCGGTTTGTCTTCCCTGAGCTGAGAGCTCTGGGTCGGAAACATTTCATCAATGTCTATGAAGTGGACCTCCGCTGGGGTATCTCTGAGGAACAGGCAAAAGACAACTGGTGAGTTTTGTTCTTGCTCCTACCTACCTGTAGACCCATTGAGACTGATCTTTATTGTATTGAATGTTAGTTTCTTTTTAATCTTGTTGAGTTCACAAATAAATAATAGAAGACATTTTTATTTTGTTTTCTTTTTTCGTTTTCCTTATTACCTGAATAAACACAAAGCCAAAAATAACACCCTAACACCAGCAACTATTTGTTGATAATGCTATAAAGCTCTGCCAAGTACATACCGACTGAAACTACGCAAAATTAAAAAGAAAATGGTTTATTTCAACTTTTGTATAGTCTAAAAAAAGGTCAAGGGTATACAAACAGTTATGAGGATGAGTGTTTGTGCAAAGCTACTCGTGAGTATTTTTGCTCAAATTTTTTTTTCATTCTCAGCACCGTGAGCCTATGCCTGCAGGAGGTCGCTCGCTGTGACATCTTCATCGGAGTCCTGGGTGAGCGATACGGCTGGACACCCTTGACCTATGAGGTCCCTGACTCCCCGGAATATGACTGGGTGCGCCAGTACGCCCCTGGAGCATCGGTGACGGAGCTAGAGATGCAGCTCGGAGCTCTGTCTCAACCAGCTCAAGCCAAGGACACAGCTTTCTTCTTCATGAGAAACAATTCCTTTGAAACGTGAGGGCAACTTCATATTTCATTGACAGCCGTGTTGTGAAGAAAGAAAAAAGTGACCCTTTTCTCCTTCCCCCTCAGAAAAATTATGCTGCAGAGAGTGCTCAAATACTTTCATATCAAAGATTCTCTTTCACAAGCTTAGTATATCATCAGGGAGGTGTTAAAAGATACTAACCCTTGAAATTGAAAGCAACATTTTTTTCAGGAGAAAAAAAAAACTGTTTCTTTCTTTTAACAATTGTACCTACATTATGGGTTTTTGGGGGGTTTTTTGGGTTTTTTTAACGTTCAGGTTTTGAAATCCGATAAAATCCAAAGCAATATTCAAAACTTTTTGCTTAAAGCCATTCAACTGTTTGTTAAAGATATGTTGCTCCCTCTGTATGGAGGCCCTGGAGCTCAAGGATACGTCTTCTTAAAAAAGAAACTTTAGTTTTAGTTTTAGTAAAGGTTTTATGGCGCAAAAAGAAACTTGATTTAGAATTGTTTATAACTTTTGCAGAGCATGGAGTGGAGTTTGAAGTTACATCGGACTAAAGTTTTTTTTTAGATTGCTGGATATAGGTTTATTTTGATGAGTAGGTATTATGAAAACTTTTACTCTTTATCCATTTAGTTTTAGTGTATGTGAGAGAAACATAAAAGCTTCTTAAAATCCATTTTAGATACGTGATTGATGAAACAGAGCAGGAAAGCCACGATAATGTTTTTTAAGATTTTTTTCAGAGGCCTGAGTTCTGACTTTTAGGTAGTGGGGTTTTATAGTCTTGAAGTGTCCTGTGCTTGCTTTTGTCAAGGATATTTGCAATATCATATCCTTTACACCCTTGTCATTTTATCCATCCAGAGATGTGCCTGCTCCCTTTGAGAAAAGCTTCAAATCAGAATCAGATGTCCACAAAGCCAAGATGTCTTCTCTGAAGTCTCGCATCCGGAAGAGTGGGCTTGAGGTGTTTAAGTAAGTAGTAATAGCTTGTTCTCTTTCGTCTAACAGTGATTAAAAAAAGATCAAATCAAACCGCTCTGTTTAATCTTCTCAGACCTTTGCACATGGGACTAAAACTTTGATGACCGACAGTCTGTTTTGTTTTAGTAGAGGTTTTACGGCGCTTGCAACTGCATAAGGTTATATGAGCGCCAGAAGATTAGAGGTGTTACAAGAGAGTAACAAACATAAAAAAAGGAGGGGAGATAAGGACAATAGGTGTTTGATAGGAAAGAAGAAGCAAACCACACCAGAGCATCCGCCAACCACCCACCAACAGAGTCTAAAAAACCCGTTGATAAAGGTCACTGCAAACTAAAGTTCTGACACATTTTGTTTGATGTTAGTCTAAAGCGGGTAAAAAAAAAAAATGATATTGGATTTACAGCTTACATCTAGAGCATTAAAAAGTTAACCTATTTTCAACACCACACTTTAACATTCACCTAAAAAACACTGTCCAACAGAGGGTGAGGACTTTAGAGACTTACATGGAGATGTCTAGACAGTTGTGGGATGAATCTACAAGCTCACACTGAAATGTAGGGGCAGGGTGGTGCTGCTGTCTCAAAATGAGCGATTTGTAGGCTAGATTACTCTAAATAATCTATTTTTGTTATCCTGTTTAAGACCCCTTATCTTCGGCGCTTATATTACCAAATTGTGTTGCAGGTGCTGTAAATCTCTTAATAAAACTAGAAATAATCTCTATTTTTACCTTTCATTGATTATTAAAATACTTCCTGAAACAATGAATATGCAGAGAATGTATCAACAAGTTTTGTTTGTCCTCAGTTACCCGTGCCACTGGGGCGGATGTGTGGATGGCAAACCTGTGGTGTCAGGTCTGGAGGAGTTTGGTGCACGCATGCTCAACACCCTGCTGAATGCAGTGAAGAAAATGTGCCCTGATGAGGTGTGTAAGAGAGGAAATTCTTCTCTCAGCTGCATTGTAGAAGACTCCGCCATATGCTATTTTAAAAGTGGCATATGACCGAGTCTTATACTGAGCAGTTATTTTAATACCCTATATAAATTTTCAGGGTTTTTTGGGGGGGTTTTTTTTGCTTATTGCGAAATGGAAACAATTATTTCCTTCCATGTGCTTACCGTATGGCAGCATGGGGGAATTATAGGGACAGTATCAGTGCAAAGTTTATGTACTTTTTTATTTGTTTCCTGTTACCTTCCTTTTCAAGTGTAAATGTATTTCTTCGGAAACTTAAAATGCACCTTGTGGAAGGTACAAGTTTTCATTCATCATTATAGTTCTCAGCTGTACTTAAGAGGATCAGACAGTAGAGGGGTGGAAGGTGGGCTGGGGCTTCTGATGCAATCCTCTCCTTGTGCTCATAGAACTCTTGTCCAAGCTTATTTTTGGTGCTTAGCTAGCTGTTGGTTTACTTTCTGGCTTTGTCTACGTCTCTTCTTCTTCTGGCTTCGTCTTCGTCTCTTTTTCTTCTTCTCAATCTCCTCCTCCTCCTCTGTCATGATGTCATGAGGCCATATATCATAGCAACTTGCAATTTAAAAAAAACAACCCAAAACTGTAGGAAATTTACATTATCCCTCTTTTTCTTCAAGATCCAGATTTGAAATAGACAACAACAACCATGGTTTTAGTTTTAGTAGTGTTTTTACAGCGCTCGCAACTGCATGAGGTCATATGAGCGCCAATCAACCATGGTTTGCCACTCATTTATCTGCTCAGACATTGAACAAAAAATGTTATCCTGGTCACCTATCTGTTCAAGTAATCTATACAAGGTACTCTTTATATATACTTTTGCCTCTTGTGCTTTCTTTTTTTCCTATCAGAACATGTTGTTCATTTAAGTACAATTGCAATTTTAACAGGATGGACTCCTGTCTGAGGAGGTTCACATTGACAACCTTCACTGGGCACTGGTGGAGCAGTGCCACTCGGAGTTCATCGGTCGCAAAAATCTGCTCAAACAGGCTGTAGGCAAGATCTACACCACGTCATCCGGTGTCATTGGTCTTTTCGGCAAATCAGGAAGTGGAAAGACAGCATTGATGGTAAAATCTCTCTTAACATTGTATTGTAAATTGAATTTGGGGAAGAAATGGCGAATCAGGCCAATATGTGGAAAAATGTTTTATCTTTATTTGTTCTTGGTTGTTTCTTTCTCTCTCTGATGAGAATTCTTTTTATTCATTACCATACACATCGTACACCTATAAGATAAGTTCACTTGATTGGTTACCTCTATTCTAAATTGCTGTTGTTATCATTTCATAAATAGGCTACACTCTGTATTATTCTTTTTGGGAAAAGAAAAGAAATATTGTCAGCACTTTTACATTTCTTGCTCACTTACCACTTTTTACAGTGATAGTTTAAGCGCAGTTTAATCTTTTCCTTCACCATTACCACAAAATATATTCTCTACTTCCTCTTTCAGTCTTCAGTTATCATGGAGATGGTGAAGTCAAAGACGTCTAGTGGTGCACGGAATGTGTTCATCAACATGGCTGGTGCTGCTCCAGGCTCAACCAATCTGGCAGCCACTGTGAGGCACCTAGCCATGCAAGTCAACTCCAGATTTGCTTTGGGGTTCTCACTCCCAGAAGACTTCAAGTAAGGAGCCTTAATTCTACTGACTGACTGACTTACCATATTATTATTTATAGATAGTCAAAATGAAGCCAACCACAAAAAAGTGAGCTTGCAGAATTAGACCTGTTTATTCTGTTAAAAATGCCATTCCCTTTCATTTTACTTTGAGAGAGATGAAATGTCATTTATTTAATGCAACAAAATGTGAAACCATTTTCGAAAAAGTTAAATCTCTGAGACAGGTGTGAATTATCTGGTCCTGTTTATGAAGTGATTAAACTTGTGCAGAAAGATATTTCATGCAAAAGAATGAGATCATGGGGTTTTTTTCCACTTTTCAGAAACTTGTGTCTGAAGTTTGGTGACCTTCTGTCAGATGCGGCCAATATGTGCACCACTAAACTTGTTGTGTTTCTCGATGGTCTGGACATGATGGAGGATGCTTACCAGCCATACAGTTTGGAGTGGCTGCCTAGCCACATTCCTGATGTAAGAAGTGGCTGTTGGATTCGTTAACTCATTCAGGACGTAATTTTTTTCAGCAGTTGAAACTATTTGGATGTATTTATTTTGTCACCCAGCAAATCATTTTAAGGGAATAGAAATGAAACAGCTTTATGTGTCTTTGGAAAATTTATCAAATGTTGATGTTTTCTGAAGTTACAAAAGCAACAAAATGTAAATAATAAAACACATGTTGGACCCTGTTCAAATTGCCGATATAATGGCGATATGTGTTCTACCAGAAGTTGCTGATATATTGCGGATACATTCAAGAAGAGTTAACGTAGGTGGCTGATGTGGTTTGCTTTTTCTGCTTCTTTTCCGCATTCCTTTTGTATGGAATCTGTTCTCAGGGGATGAAATGTGGCTGCTGCTGTTGCGAATTGTCATCAGCTACAGCTCATTTGTTTTTTAATCTGCCTTTGTGTCCATGTGGATGTGTCCTGTTGTGCATTTTATTTGCATTTTGTCTTGATCTATTCTGTGACTTATTGTCCTGCTATTGTTCACATATTTGCATGATGTTGTCTACTCCACCCTCTGTTGAGCACTACTGTTGTCTGAATATGTTTTGAATTAAATTTTACCATATTTTTGTACACTTATTTCTCCCTTCAGAACGTTGTGTTTGTGATATCAGCCATCACAAACGAGAAGACCTTCAAGTCCCTGAAACGTCTCAGAGTGGATGAGATGATTGTTGGAGATCTGGACATGTGGGATAAGGCTGAGCTGGTCAGACAGACGCTGGCAAAGCACCGCAAGTCACTGGACGAGTCTGGCTTTGGGAACCAGGTCAGATTTGTTGTTTTATTGTGGAGGGGAGGAGGGGTCATATCGATGACTGGATGCAAGACCCTGGCAAAATTATTTTGCAAATTGGCGTTTGTCAGTCTTACACTCAGCCGTTGACACATTATTTGAATTTTTTTCCAAAGCCATATTTTATCTTCCTGGAAGGGTTATATATTGCAGCAAATTCTTAGAGAATTTTTTTTTAATCAACGAAATTAGATCGTGGGGAAAAGGGGTTGGGGATCTTTAATATTTGTTATTTTATGATTTGTTGAATGACTTTTATTCTCATCCATTTCAGATGAAACTGTTGATGTTGAAGAAAGAAGCCCACAACCCATTGTATCTGAAGCTGGCGTGTGAAGAACTGAGGGTGTTTGGTGTGTTTGAGAAGGTATGTATCCCATGATGCCACTTCAGAGGCATAATGTGAGCTGTACAGCTGCAGGCCTTGCTGAAGTAAAAAGATTTATCCAATGAATTTTGCTAAGCCTTGGGGTTTAAGCTTTTTAAAAATCCCCTTAATGCTTTGTCTTCTGTGTCTTTACTGATTAATCATTTTTTAGCCATACCAGCCTAAACCAGCCTAAACCTAAACCTTCCTGTCATCTTGCTATACCCCGGCTTTTACCAGGCATCTATCATCCTAATCTCTCTTTTGTTTGTATGTTACAATCTAGTAACACCTGTAATATGTGGCACTGATTGTGCTGCAAGTGACATTAAAAACTCTTATTAAATACTTAAACTTTTTTTGAAGAAATTAAAAGACACATGGGGTTTCACTAGACTTTTATCTACTTCTCTCTGCCTTGCCTCCAGGTGTCTGACAAGCTGAAAGGTCTGCCCCACACAACTGCCCAGATGTTGCAGGAGGTTCTGGAGCGTCTGGAGTCTGACCACGGAGTGAAGCTGGTCTCTACAGCTCTGTGTCTGCTGGCCTGTGCACGTGATGGTCAGTTTATCTTCATTTTAATCGTCTTCTGGAGCTTTTTTGGGGGGGTCTTTTTTTTTTGTTTTTTACCCTTGCCCATTTCTATCAGATGACTCTTTTGTGTTAGGAGGACAAAACAGATCGTGCAAATATTATTATTCTTTTAATGTCGCAATAAAGGAGAATCGGCAGAGTTAATGATAGACAAAAAATAGAGAGAAGCATTTCTGTCACTTTTAGAATTTGGTTTTTTTAAAAATCTTTTTGATTGCACATTTTAAGATATATATACATAATAGACATAATATATAACAAGGCCTTTTAAGAATAAAGGGGGAAAATGATCATATCAGCTATTAGCAGGTTAGGTGCTTCTCTCACATGAGAAAAGATGAAGGGAGTGAACTTTTTCTTTTTTCTAGGTAGCACCACCTTTCAATTTGATGAGGAAAAAAAATGAAACATTTGGGTTAAGATGCAAAGTCTCAAGTGGTTCTCCGACCTTTTATCTTTTTATATAAACACTATGCAATTGGCACATTTGGAAATTTAATTAATCAGTGGGCCAAATGTGCCCTTTATACTCCTTAGATATTCCTTAGTTTTTGCTGTTTTTGTGAAATACTCTATACAGTGACAAAATGCAGCTGATAAAAACATGCAAATTCTTTGTCATATCGACAGGCCGAAGGGCTATAGAACTCAGATGGCCACTGGATTGGAAGAGTAAAAGTGAAGTGATCGTGAAATGATAGAAGTTTTTAGCTTTTTTGTACCGAAATAGGAGAAATGTTTTTAGTAGTTTTCTATTGTCTGGTATACTCATGTTCTGTCTGTGCTGTGTGGGAAATTCCCAGGGTTGTACCCAGAAGAGTTGTACGAGCTCCTGAGCTGGTACAGTGTCTATGGCAGTGACAGCTTGGAACCTCGGGATCTCTGCAAGAAAGCCCTGAGCCGTGAGGAAGAAATACCACCTGTGACATTGACCTTCTTGGCTAGGTCCATCATGTCCTTCCTCAACCCAAGCTCTACTTGGTAAGCATGCTGGGATTTTTTTGTGGGGTTTTTTGTGTTAGTGTTAGCAGCCGATAAAAGTAAAGTAAGTAAAGTTGTTAACTGTTGTTATCCCAGACTGTTGAGATGTTGTTTTTGTCTTCTGTGGTGTAGCAATTAGACTCTATGCCTTTTTTAATGGAAGATATATGTTTGATTCTCATGCTAGGTTTGTTTGGTTTTTTTTTAAATCAAGTGTTCCCATCTAATTTCTTAGATATTTCCCCCTCAGCCTGGTTTGGCACTGACAGACAGGGTGGAAGCAGCCTTCTTCCCAAATGGTCATTCAGGGTCACACTTCATATTGTATACAACATTGAATATCTTGCTCAGTTTGCGTGACATCAGCTTTTTCTTCATTCTAGAACCCAGATTTTTTAAAACACTGTTATATCAATATGAGTTGTTGCACCTAGAATAAAACAGAGATTCGTGAATTTTAAAATATGGTTTAGGAAAGAATATCGAAGTTTCTTTCTGTGTGTGTCTGTGAAACAGTTCTCGCTTTTATTCTTGGGTCTTCAGGGGGGGGGGGGGGTGTCAGTCATTTCCAATATGTGTATGTTAGATGGAATCAAAAATGTTAATAGTACTCTAAAACCCCAACTCATACGAATGATAAAATCAAAATCTTAAAATACACAGATTTTCCTTTTCTACTTTTCATTTTTTTTCTCTTCCTATCCCCATCTGTTTTTGAAGGCATGCAGCCGTTATCTGTTATCTGTTGAATTGCTGTACTGTATACTGCAAGTTCGCTACAAAATACAGGGTGGGACATTAATAATATTCAGCTATGACATTTTCTTTTGTTGTTTTTTTTGTGTAGGGCTCCCATGCTGTCCCTGGCAAACGCAGAGATCTGCACTGCAGTTCGCCTGCGCTACCTGAAAGGGACTGCTGCTGACATGGAGCTTAGCTACCACAAATTTTTGGCAGGTGAGAAACATTGAAGATGCAGTGTTCATTGCTTTCCTGTGAACAATGTGTTATCATCATTCAGCGAGTAGATTAAATTATGTGTGTGAAATGCTCCATCTACTTTTTTTAAAAACTTCAATCACATTTTTGTCATGACGCAGATGCTCATCAATTTGGGGGCATTTGGAGTTATTGATATCATCTTGAAGTTTGTTCATTTGTCTTGCTTTTAATGGAAAAAAATACCCATCTATCTTGAACTGAAGTTGAGATACATGCGATTGAAAAAGGGGGGAGGGGAGGGGGGGGTGTAACCTGTTTTCAGTTGTACAATAAGCGAGAAATGGCCCCCAAAGTTGGGTAACTTCCATAGCTTGAGAGTCCTTCAAAATTCAAAATGTATATTTTTTTGTGCCTATAAATCAATGTTTTTCTGTAAAATCCACACAGTTATATTTTTTAATGGACATATATAAAAGGTGTTGAACCGAAAACAAAAATCTAATGAAAATTGCCACACCAGCTGAAAAAATGCGGGTTTCTCAGGTTTTATCTTGATGAGCTGCCTGATTTCGCTGCGATGCCTCACAATTGGTCGCTTTTAAGCACAAGGGGGCTATCCTGAAAAATGCTGTTTTGAGAAAATCGAAGCTAAAGTTTTTAGATCCTTATTCAGTTTCTTTAAAAGACAAGGAGCGTTTTCTCTATAACCAAACAAATGTACACAGCAATGAAACCAAACTTCTCCTATAGGTAGGGCTGTGCCCACTTTTGTTGTAGGTCAAGATTTCTGGAAACCCCCGAAATCTGGGTTAGCCCGCTTGTCCTTAAAAGCGACCAATTGTCTTTATGCTTTTGGTGCCATGTGACAGGGTTTTCACTCAGACTCTTCCCAGGCAACAACTGTGTGTCATAATCATTGCCAAGAATTTTGATTTTCCTCTTTTAGATCTTATGGCCTCAACTTTGACTTAACTCTCTCCTGTTATCTATGAACGTGTCTACATCAGTCTCAATTTTTTTTTCTTTTTTTTTTCTCTGTTGTCTTGTTCTTGCTCTTTCATATTTTATTACGTGCCTTTATTGAATGAAACAAATAATATGAACTGACTCGGAGCTGTGTCTATTGTGACAGACGAATCATATAAATTAATTTGGAGCTGGGTCTATTTTGAATATAGATGCATTATAAATTGATTAAGAGCTGTGTCTTGGGTGAATGAGACAAATAAATTAGATTTCTAAGGAGCTTGCTTTTCCAATGCAGATGTTATTCAAGAATGTTTAAGATCCAGAAGTTCATGATTTTTACTAAGCCTCATTTGAAAAGAGGAAAATGCATGATTGGATTTTGTAAAATTTATTAGTTGTTGTTTCCATTAAATTTTCCTCTTTATCTCCGAGGGGGATAAACCCTCTACGCCGGGGCCCTTTTTTGGTGCTAAATCTAAAAATGACAAAATCGTCTTTAAAAGGGTCATTATATTGAAACTAGCAAACTTATTTTGATAGCTCTTCATCTAATGAATGAACTTCAGGTAAAAGAGACCTGTTTTCGGCAATTACCAAAAAGTAATTTGATGTTTAAGTCGTCGTAAAGGAATGTGGCTTGCCAGAGATAAAGAGTTAAAAGAGCCACCATTATAATATTGCAAAATAACTTCGGCATTAAATGATTCACCAAATATATTATATCCTCAGCCTTTTTCATGAGACAAGCAGATCCTACAAAAGATGACACCTGGCAGAGTCAGAATGTCCGAGCGTTCTCAGAGCTCCCATACCACCTGGTAAGCTAATTCTCCAGTCTCTGTGACATATGTGTCACGACGCGGTGGAGTCAGGCGCTTGTCTATTTTTGAGCCTGTAGAGTTATTGGTATCAGCTTAAAGCTTGTTCTTTTGCCTTTCTTTGGATGGAAAAAATACCAATCTACCTTAAATAGAAGTCGAGATATTTGTCATTGAAGGTGGTGGGGGTCGCCAGGTTTCAGAGGTAAAATTAGCGAGAAAATGGCTCCCAAAGCTTAAGAGGCCTTTGTAAGCTGAAAATCTACAATCTTTGTGCCTTTAATCACGTTTTTCATTAAGATCCATGCAGAAATGAGTTTTTAAATGGACATAAAAGGCGTTGAGCCAAAAAACAAAAATTCGAGAAAAATTTTCCAACAAGCTGAAAAATGCCGCTTTCTTCGATTTCAGTATTTTGACGAGCGTTTGATTTCACCATGATGCGTCACATATTACATGTTCTTTGTACAGTAGCTGCAATTTGGACTTCTTGTATTTTCTGGGTTAAGAAAAAAGTTTTATTCCAGTACCCATAGAAGTCATATTTGAGTTTCCCCCATACTGACATAATTCATCAAACCATATCCGTACATTTGTTAATGACAAAGTAACAGAGCCACATTTGTAACAAAGTGTTTTGAAAAGAAAAATGTTTGCTGAAGAAAAAAATTAATTTTTGAAAACCTTGCATATTTACCTAATGCAGCCCCAAAAAACCTTTATTTCTTTTTGGTAAGTGTTTTACGGCGCTCGCAACTGCATAAGGTCATATGAGCATTTTCAGTGGGTGGGAAATTTAGAATTTTGCCCAGGTGGCGGCCAAAGCCTACTCTTATTGATTTCAGACCTCCAAGGGATCTTTAATGTGCACAACTTGCACTCGGGACCTCCGAGATTTTTCGCCCTTGTCCGAGAAGGCTAGGTGTGGATCTTTCCTACCATAAGATCAGGGATGTGGCTGAAAGACAGAAGTAAGGAGCCAAGGAGCAGCAGTAAAAAAGCTGCAGAAAGAGCCAGGAGCCCAGAGGAGGGAGCTAAGTGGCTGAGGGGGGTCGGGGCAGAAAGTGGAGACGAAAGCAGACGACAGAACATTGCTAGAGAGCAGGAAATGAGGTGAAAGGAGACAATTTTAGAGAAGAAAATTTTTTTGTGGTTACCCGGATTCGAACCCGCGGCCTTTGTATGAGAGATGTATACCTTAACCTCTAGGCCATGAGAGCCCCCGTAGATGACCTAAAGAAGAAATGTTGTGTTCTCTGAAAGTACTATCGTGCTATTTTCCTCAGGCCTGTGGTGGCTGCTTCACAGAGCTGGCCAGAGTCCTGTGCAACCACAAGTTCATCCAAGCCAAGTGTTCCCTGGGGATGGCTGCAAAACTATTGGATGACTTTACACCTAAAGGTGATAGTTTTTATCTCTCACTTGTTTGGGATATCTGATTTTTATTTTCTTTTGAGAAGGGGGAGAGGGGGGGGGGGGGTCCTAACTCACAATACAATGTCCAGATTTATGGAGGTGGTTATTTCTTTTTGTTTATGTGGATTTGACATGCGGATAATTTTAGAACGACAGATGTACGCCATTGGCCAATATTTATTGTAACAATCATCTTGTTTGACTTCCCTTTACTTCCCAACTCGAAGTCAGGTACCCATTAGAGGTGGGTGGGCGGAAAAAAAATCCGCAGCCGAACTGAGGCTCGAACCTGAACTTTCTGCTTTGGAGACAAGCGCACTAACCACTCCGCCACCACGCCACTGTAGGCTACAGGCTTTAAAATTACTGCAATTGTGCTTTGCGGTCGTGTTGCCACCGTGAACGACAACAAAGTGGGAATCCCTCAATGACGTCAAACAAGATGGTTGTTACTATAAGTAACGGCCAATGGCGTACATCTGTCATTCTTAAGTTATGCGCATGTGTGGATTTGCACTACCATATGTGTGCTTCCATAAATGTGTGCTTGTGTTTATGCTCAGTGCTGCAAAGGTGTGTCTCAAGAAGGAAATCAGCCTGTATTCATGATGGTTGGAAAAGACAACATCAGCTGTTGAGAAGAAACTATTCTCTCAATATAAATTCACTAAAGTTGTGGTATGTGCTTTGTGCTTTTGTATCAAAAACCAAAAGGAGGGAGACAGAGAGAAAGAGAGTTAATTTTCATGCAAACGAAGTCTTTTTACTGTGGTGCAAGACCAAAGCTGATCCTTTCTGTGGTATTTATGCAGATTATGATTGGCTTTGGCATTGTACAAAATGTTCTTTTTTTATTTGGTTCAAGTTGTTAAAATGATTGCTCTAAGTAGGCTCACGATGTCTTTCTATTTCTCAATATCGTTTTGTAGGCAGTGGAAGCCGGGCCATGGAAAGAGAGCAGAACCGCTTCTTGTCCCTGCAAAGTGTACAGCAGTACAAGTCCTTCATCTTCAGGAACATCAACATTCTTGTCAAGTGAGTGTTTAACAAACAGAGTCCGTATGCCCTGGGGTCATTTTGTTCCCCCGGGGTTGTATTCCTCACATTTTAGCATACTTCTAGTAGGAAGATCACTTTGAAACTTCCAGTATTTCTCAAAAAATCATTTTTGACAGACTGCTAGGCAAATCGTACGGATCGGATTAACGAGTAAATTTCCTCTTTGGAAAATAGTGTCACAGAGTTGCCCACGTCGTATGGGTACGATAGAAAAGCGCGACATACGGATAGGGTTACAAAACATCTATCAACTTTTTTTTTTTTTTTCCGAAGTAGGAGTAGTCTTGTCACTACTTTTTTTTTTCCGCTCCCTGCTTCAGTATTTTTTATTGTCTTGTGAAAAGGATAGTGATATTTGAAAAATGCTGTTACAAAAGAGATGTCTTGGCTGTGTTGAATTGAGAAAAATTAGATGCCACTTTGTGATTTTTAATGACTTAGGGATGAAAAGGCGAATTATTAGAAAAAGTTTGCTGAGATTTTCACTGTGCATTGATTGATGGTAAAAAGGCCAGGATTTTCTTGTTTTGTTTTGTTGGGTTTTTTTGGTGTTCTTTTTGTTTTTGCATGTGTCATTGCAATCTAGATCATTAAGGGGATTGGCTGATTTGATCCTGCCTTGGGAGAGGGGGAGGGGGGGGGCAGAGCAACCCTAACTGAGTGGAGTACAGAATCTCAGGAGAGGAACAGAGTTGCTGAATGATATTATGTCTTTTGGGGGCAAGGGGGAGAGCCAAAAACTTAATACTGCAGACTCTGACCACTGTTACTGTCATGTACATAATGTGTTAAAGATATTATGATCAGTGAAGTGCTTGAGAATTCCGTTACTGCTTCAATTACTACTTCAAAGTGATGATCTCTATGAAGTGTTTTTCTTACTGGCTTTATCAGCAGAATCACAAATTACGGCTTCTGAAAATAATGACTAACCCTTTAAGACCTAGCCACCTTGGCCTTTAATTTCCACCCCGCCTGAACTCTTGGGCCATTTTGCCACAAATCACAACACGTGTTGGATTTGTCTGAACTCTTCTTCAATAGAACAAGATTCCCTTGTGAAAGACCTTAATTTTCTTCCTTTAATTTAACATATTTTTTCTTTGAAGTGCACCATGAATTTTCTACGAAGTATAGCCATGACCGCTGTACCGTTCTCACAGCAGAGCAGAGAACAAGCCTGCGACAACTGTACCTGTCACGTGGTTTCAGTGGGTTGATAATACACTGTATTGACTGGCTTGGCTTTTTTTTTTCTTCGGAATTCATTTTAAAATGGTTGTAGTTGTTTGTTCGGGGGTTTTTTGTCTGACAAATTTGAGTTTTTTATTATGATAGGATAATCACTGAGGGTTTTTTTTATTCTCATCTTCCTCCAGCTATCCATCTCTGGAGTGGCAGCAGGCAATCAATGAGCCATCTCACACTCTGCCGTATGAGGATGCCTTCAAAATGCAGCAGTGGAGCAGAGACCTGCCTGCCTACATGGAGTGGAGCAACAAGCCAGAGGAAGAGAGCCAGTGCTACCTGACTCTGTCCAACTTCAAGGAGGTCAGTAGGGACTCCAGTAAGCGGGGGTGGGGGGCAGCTCAGGGTCAGATCGAGTTTCCAAGTCTCAGGTGTTTTTTTGGTAATTTGAGAGCTTTTTGCCTGCTTTTTTAATAATTATCAAAATTATCATTTTATTGTTATTTCAATTATTATAATTATTTTAAATTTGAAGGGTGTCTGCTGGCTTTTATGGTAATAATAAAAATACAAAAATGATAATACTAATAATAATTATTATAATTTTCATTTTATTATTAATTTTTCAATTGTTATTATTATTTTAAATTTGAAGGCTGTCTGACTGCCTTTATTTGAGATGGAAGTTTTATTGGGTGTTCCTGCCTCATGAGATGCTTAAACTGAGTTTAAAGAATACTGTCAAACCTGCTCTAACAACCACTTGTACAAAAGACCATCACCTGTACAAACGGCCACTTCCCATATCCTCCCTTGCATACTTTGTTCATTATAATGAGATTAGACGTCCACCTGTCTATGACAGCCACTTTTCTCCTCGACAATTGGTGGCCGTCTTAGAAAAATTTGACTGTATTTAAAAAGTGCAAGGAAGAATCAAGATGAATTTACCCTGGAAATTAACAAGATTTTGTGTTTATTTTACCCAGGAAATTAACAGGATTGTGTGTTTCAAAACAAGATTTTGCGTTTATTTTACCCAGGAAATTAACAGGATTTTGTGTTTCAAAACAAGATTTTGTGTTTATTTTACCCTGGAAATTAACAGGATTTTGTGTTTCAAAACAAGATTTTGTGTTTATTTTAACCAGGAAATTAACGGGATTTTGTGTTTCAAAAGTTTTCTTTAAGATAATTCCAGTGTTTTGAGGACATTTTTCTTCTCTTTGTCCTCAGTCGGTGAACTGTGTTGCGGTGTCTCCCAACTGTTCGATGTTTGCCGCTGGCTCCCAAGACCTTTTGGTCAGGCTTTATGACATGGCCACTGGCAAGGTAAGCCATTTGCAATACATGCAGCTAGCTCAAATTAAAATGAGCCTCACATCACTGAAAAGTTCAGCTGGTAAAAGAGTGAAAACATTTTCTAGCCTCTCTTTAAAAAGTTCTATCTTGGGTCCCAAGTGCCCTGCAAGGGGACCAAGTCTCCCCCCCTCCCTTTTAGAATAAATGACTGTATCTAGTAGACCATCAAATGTCACTGGAATGTGTTGCGTAACTGTTAAGGTCTGTGCTCGTGTGTAACTGTTAAGGTCTGTGCTCGTTCAAGCATAAGACATGAGTTTGGCTTCCAAGTGTGGACAGTATTTTATGGAGGTTTTTTTTTCTATCCACTGGGAAGCTGTATCCTTCTCAACCTAGGTTTATACTTTCAACCAGGGTGGAAGTTCCTGCCTCTTACATGATCTAAATCGTGTCGATGGGTGGGTGGTATAAAACATTGCAATAAACCCTGTGTTTCAAAGGAGAATCAAGTGGTTCCTCTTGAAACGAAGAGTTGTGTATCTAGTGGAGCACTGATGTCTTGGAAAGAAAAAGACTGACAGATTAGTAGACTTGAAAAATTGGAAAAATTGTTTCTATGTTGCAATCGCATTTGCGCAGCATAAATTAGTTTGTGAGGGTTTATTATCAAAGAATTTATATAACATCAAACTTTATTCAATGACTGTTTTCCCATTGCTCCTTCTGTCTACTTTTGTTTACAAGATGATAGGATACTTCCATTTCCCATGAAAAAGAATTTTAGATTCTTCAATGAGAACAGCATATTGTGTGTGACATCAGCTGTTTTGTGTTTTTATAACACAGGGGAAAAAATGTTAAGTGCTGTCAGATCTGTGCGAGTTGCTAAACCTAAAATAAGCTCCTAAACTAAAAAATAAAAGATATTTAAGTATGGAATGGTGAAGTTTATGATTCTTTTGTCCTCCACTCCTAGGAGCTGAAGTTCTTCCACGGCCACTCGGACGCTGTGACAGACATCTGCTTTGCCGGCAACGACATTCTGTGCAGTGGCTCAGTGGACACGACCCTATGTCTCTGGGATGTGACCGACGGCCACAGGTGAGGCTTATAGTTCAAGGCTTTGACCTTGGCCAAAGATGCTTTACTTTTACTTTTCTGATCCACCTGCCATCTTAGTTCGAGCCTTTTGGCCTTATGGCAAAGAATTTACAGGGTTTTTTTCAGCTGCTTTTTATTGCTGTTTGTTTGAAGTTTTAGAAGATAACATGTAAAGATGATTGGATAGATTACAGTAGAGATACTCGGCTGGGTCTGAGGTAGTCGGCACCCTGTGAGGAAAACATGCTCAACTGGACCTAGTAGAACGAGATCTCTTGGGGGGGAAATAGAGGTAAGAACGTAACTGGGTCTGCAAGGGTTAAGGTAATGATGTGGCTTTTTCTTTTTTAAACAGAATTCACACCCTGAAAGGACATGGTCGACGAGTCAACTCGTGTGCCTCAGATTCACAAGGCAAACTGATAGCCTCTGGAGGCTGGGACTGCATGGTGAATGTGTGGAATACAGCAAAAGGAGACAAACTCTGCGAATTCAACATTGAGAGGTGAGAACTCGATTCATTTATTGTGCTTATTTTTTTTATTTTTTTTTTTATTTTTTTTTTTCCCCTCAAGAACTTTGGACTAGTTAATTGCAAATTATCAAGTATTATTTTTATTAAAGATAGATCTTTGATAATGGAAGTTCTGCTCCAGTACAAAAGCATTTAGCTTCAGAACTTTTCCAGAGGCTCAATCCCTCACTCAAACTTTGAGGGGAATATATCTTTTCATTGCAATTTACTTGCCTGCTTCACTTATGGTGCTTGTCTGCAACTTAAAAGATGAACAGAGTTGTTTGTATTTGATTTGAGTTTTTTGAGCAACAAGGGAGAAAAAATCAATATCTCAGATTCTTCTTGTGTAAATTGCCTTATAACAGCTCTTGTTTTCTTGTGTTTGTAACAGCCCTGTCAACTGTGTTGATTTCCATCCCTCGGAGGAGCTCGTCGTTGTTGGCAGCTGGGATTCTCTGATCAGAATCTACAATTACTTCCACAAGACGCGTGTCGCTGTGAGTATTGTTTTATGTGACGTCAGTGGTCAAGTGGTTAGGCTGTTGGGCTCCTAACCAAAAGGGTTATGGTTTTGAACTCTATCAAGGGCTGTTTGTTGTGTCCTTGGCAATACACAGTGAAAGATCTTGTCAACTTATTAGTGTTTGAATCCTTAACTAGCTGTTTGCACTGTATGCTTCCCGAGAATGTTTCTGACTTCTAGGGTCTGACTAGGTAATAATATTTATAAAGTGCATAGAGCATACTGTAGAGTATGAATGTGCACTGTATAAGGCATTTATTATTATTATTGTTACTATTATTATAATTATTATTATTATTATTATTATTATTATAAACCCTCTTCCTCTTTGATCCTAGATCTATACCCAAATCTTATGAAATGACCCTGAAATGTTTTTAATTTTTTTTTACTTTATTGTCTGTAACTTTTGAGCAACTTATATGAAACAGTTATCCTCTAATTCACAATTTCTGGTTTTGGCTCATTCAAATTCTTGTGTTGGACGATCAGTTTTTGTTTGTAGAACAGAAGTGCAAACTGCAGTTGAAATTGTCCAAGGTGGATGTCTTGGACTACATCATTATAATATATAGGGGAAAAAACAAGGGGGGGGGGGAATGGGAAGTGGTGGTTTATTCATGTGATTGTCTTGGGCAGGTGACAGTGCATAGAGCATGTCTGACTCTCTTTTTCCATGTTGTTCTCACATCATTGACCTGTTCTTGTTGTTCCTGTACCAGATTCTGCGTGGACACAGCACCTCAGTGAGGGACATTGCCTACTCCATAGATGGACGCCACTTGGCCTCTGCTGCGATGGATGGAGACGTAAAGATCTGGGCCGCAGACAAAGGCTCCCAGGTGAGATATAGTAATCTGCACAGTGGTCATGGAGTATGCTCTCACTATTCTTCTGTTTTCAGTCTCATTAAAGCAGCTTCTGTGGTGTAGTGGTGAGGCACTGTGCTGCTGCACTCAGGAGACCAGTGTTCTATTCCCAAATGAGGAGAAAATGTTCATCGAGTATCTCAGTCTTTGTGCTTGGATGTATCCCTCTCAGCCCCGGTTGGCACCCTGATAGGCAGGCTTAGACACCCACCTTCTAAATGGTCTAAATTGTGTTGACAGGGCGTATAAACATTTTTTTTAAAGTCTCGTTAATTCACCAATTGACTGTGCTTTATGAAAACTCTGGTATGGTCCATACTTATTTACAGCATTATTACCCTAGTCCTTGATTTAGAATTGATAAAATGGGATAGTTGTCATGCTGGCTCGTCATTAGCTCACATTTCAGCATTTCCTTCACCCTGGAAAAAATATTCCGAAAATATAAATTTGGCTTTGAGAAAAATGTAACTGAGGAGGAATGTAGGGAAAGTCTAGCATTTTTTTGTTGTGCTGACCATTCTTTCGGTGCAGGTGTTAGAAGTTCCATTATTCTCATTCCCTAATCATCTTGAACAGTTGCACCATGCTCTGGTTTGAAGTTAAGTGAGGATGTGTTTTTCAAGTTCAAACATTATTGCAACAGTTGACTCTCTGAAAACATTCCTGTTTATTTAAATGAATTTCCGGCTGAATAGTAAGACTATTTTTTTCCCTGAAAGTCTTATTTCATCTTGAAATTTGTTCTGCGTGTGTTTCTGAATTAAATTTTTCTTTGTTTTGCTTCAGGTGGGCAACGTGAAAGGTCATGCTGGGCCTGTGAACAAGCTGATATTTTCTCCGTCTGGAAGGGAGATAATTACTGCTGGTGAAGACCACCAAGTCAAGGTAAGGGTCTCATGTCTCTGTATAGTAGCATGGAGGTAGACGCTATGTTTGCGGGTAGATGTTTAAAATGGTATGACTTTAACGCCCCTATCAACACTATTAGGTTATTTAAGGGGCGGGACCTCCTAGTTTAACGTCCGTCTCCGATAGGACCGAGCCAAGTGGGAAGTTCGTGTAAAATGCCTTTCCCAAGGACACAACGTCGGACCGAGTTGAGGCTCGAACCCTCGAACCCGCAATCTCCTGATGACGAGTCTGGTAGCCTAACCACTAGGCTACCGACGCCACGGGTAGATGTTTCCATTTGACACAAATTGTTGTTTTTCAATATTTGATCAGGTTATGCTATGAAATGAATGATTAAGGTTTAAAGAATATTTTTGGGAAATTGATAAAACAGTATTGTTTTATTGTTATGACTTGGGTGCAAGTGCATTTTGATCCTAAAAAATTGGAACTCCTCGCTTATTTGAAGTTTTTCTTGGCTGTTGTGACAAAGGGAAACAGTGGCATATTAGAAACAGATACGTTTTCCTCCTCTAGTATACAAACCGACTTATATGCTTATTTCTGACTGCTTAGGACTGCACGTGTGCGTGCATGTAGCAGCGTGTTTACACTGTAAGTGGATTTGTTTGTACGGAAGAGTGTGCGTGGGGGCTCTCGTGGCCTAGAGGTTAAGGTGTTGGCCTCTCATTCAAAGGTCCCGGGTTCAATTCCGGGTAGCGACCAAAAAATTTTCT